GTTAAATATGACGATTGCATTTATTATCACTATTAATGGAAAAGTCTGTCTTAGGATGTACCTTGTTCCGTAATGTTTCAGAAATGTTGTTTAATGAATTCTACTTCATAGAGATATAAAATGATTCGTTAGTTTTATCATTTCTTTTCATTTCTAAATCGCAAAATATGTACGATATATTTGTGAAACATGATCATATACACATGTACATGTGTAAAGTGTGTTTGAGATATTAAATAGTGTATTCATTTCTTAAATTTTTTAAATTCAGTGCAAGAATTTGTCATTTATATATATAGACGGACTCGACTTTTTGTCTTCGGCAAAACTTTAGCAAAACAAAATCGGTATTTGAATAGTTTGTAGGAGTAAATATCACAAAAAGCTGACGCTTCTTCCTTAAATTATATGTATGCCTTGTTATAAACAGTAGGAAATCATGAAAAAGTGAACTGCATCAACATGATCAAAAGTTATATATAATACAAAATGAAACGGCATGTATGTGTGATAATTATATTTAAATCATCCAATTAATTGTAATAACCGACATAGAAATCTAAGGAAAAGAGCCATCAAGAAAGTTTTTTATTGAAATATCAAAAAATAGGGGAAAAAGAATGTTAAAAAAAAATATACCACACTTTAGGATATTTCTAAAAGGAAGTCCATAAAAATTGGAAGACAGATTCGTGTATAAATTATTTGAAGTATATTTCCTTTTTAATATTCAACTTTACATTCTAATATAAATTTATAGGTCAGGTATTTGAGTACTACAGAAGACAAATTAAATTAGAGTGCAAAAGAAATAGTAGGAATCATTGACAATATTCTGGCTAGAAAATGCATGGAAATGGAGATGGGACAAAATGCATTCTACCATTTGATAGCCGAGAATGAATTACTAAGTATGTAACATAATAGCCATCCTTTATGCTACATACATAAAATGTTTAATATTACCGTTAATGCTAGTGTATTTAGATTTGACTTTGTATTTTTTAAACTAGAATTATTATTTAGTTAGAACGTTTTTTGACATAATTCTGTTTCCTGTATCCATATCTACCCTCAATTTTCCTGCTAAACCTAGCAAGCACGGTAAAGTCTTACCATTATGGTAAACCATGCATAATGCCTATTGCCTTGCCTTGTATAGTTTAGGTAAAATATTAAAAAAGAGTCTTTTCTCTACCCATTTGCCATATTTTGTTGTTCCAGGACACCGGAAACAATGTATTTTTTGGTCTTTTTGGTTTTTTTTAGGAGGATTTAATATATTCTTAAGAAGTATACATTGAGTACTCATTTATTCATTACTTTATTACAGGGGCAGTGAAATAATTTTTATGAAGATATGCTATACTGGATAAAGGATAAACATTCAGAAATAGTGACAAAACAAAGTGTAGCAGAAAACAAAAGGAACACTCTCCTGAATTAAAAACATGTCATAATACAGAACTAGGAAAATAGCTGTATGAAATGAATTATCATTGCCTTCATACAAATGTGATGAATGAATTATCATGAATAGACTTTATCATTTTCATTCTAGATCTGATTTTAGCAATGTATAGATACAAAAAAAAATAAACTTTTAATACTTTGCTGGTTATCTAGCTAATAATAGATTATATATATTCATACCTTTGTATATATATAATTTATTATTAGCTAGATAACCAGTTAAGTATTAAAAGTTTAATACTTCGCCATGGCAGTCAGCAGGGTTTAAGAACATCCGTTGTTCGACCGGCTAGTCAAATGCGTTTTGTTAAAATATACTTTTTCCACTTTCTTGGTCTTTTGGAAAATGTTGTTTGTGCTGTATTTAGACCCCTCTACCAAGAAATTTGTTTTGCATGCACACGTATAAAAATTGTGGTTTTTATCCAACGCAATCATAGGTTTGAACGATGTTTTCAATTTAGACTTGTTTATATTTTTTTCGTTTGAGCTTGTTTTATATTTTCCTTCGGGTTTATATGATCCGTTCATCCTATGTCGACTCTTTCAAATTTCAAGAGTCTATCCCAAATTGAGGTAAATTATATGACCTTCCAAATACCGTTTCTATTCCTAACATCACTGAAGAGACATTAATAGTCGAAATCCGGATATGGTGTACAAATATTTGCACCTCATGTTTGCGGTATACGATCTTTTCTGCTAGTTTATTGTTTTCTGTTTAGTATTAAATTAATAATAAAGATCCGTTTGTTACATCTGGTGATCTGTTTATTTGGCAATCGCCATGGCAGTCAGCAGGGTTTAATAACATCCGTTGTTCGACCTGCTAGTCAAATGCGATTTGTTAATATATACTTTTTCACTTTTTTGGTCTTTTGGAAAATGTTGTTTGTGCTGTATTTAGACACCTCTACCAAGAAATTTGTTTTGCATGCACACGTATAAAAATTGCAGTTTTTATCCAACGCAATCATAGGTTTGAACGTTGTTTTCAATTTAGACTTGTTTGTATTCACACCATTGTATATCATGTATATACATTATTTAAGAAAAATAGGTAACATGGATATGTTGATTGAATTCATTCAAATATGGGTAAAATTCAAAAGTACAATTCCGGAGAGAAATATTGATTGATTGTTGGTTGCTTAAACGTCAAGTGGCAAATATTTTAATCATGTTCAGGAAGATGGAGAGAAAGTGGTAAAATACCAAATTTTCAGGGTAGTATGTAAGAAAAACAATATGCTATAACAACAGTAGATCTGTAAAACGCAATATTTACAATATTTTAAGAAACTAATACTTTCGCAATTTTGAACTGATGTAAAAACCAGGAATTTTTTCAGTTGTTGCTTGGAAAGGATTTTAGCATCCTTCATATGGATTGAAAAGTTTACAAATTGAAACAACGGAGTGCCAACGTTTGTTTAAAGTTTTTATTACTACTTTGGCCCAACGTTTGTTCAACATTGGCTGTATTATTCCATCATTGGGCCAACTTTGGACCTATGTATTGTGTTAAACCTTACAACGTTGTGCCAACGTTTAGCCATCACGTTGGGCCAACATAGGGCCACTTTGCACTTATACATTGGGCCAACGTTGGGTCAATGAATGTAAATATGTGGGCCATTGTTGTGACAACGTACAAATGTTGTCTGGGATGGGAGCTAGATCCAATGATCCTTGAATAAATATTAAATATTATTTTCAAATATTTACTTCATCAAATTGTTACAGATAATTTCATTGCATTACATAATGAATATAAACCAAACTAGATATATGAAAACAACCAAAGATAAAACTTGTCCAAAACTAGACATCATTATAGCCAATCATATCTATAGACCATGTCATGCATGGGATTATGATAAAAACAACACATGATCACTTCTCCATCAAACTTTTTATAATGACCTTCAGTCATGTCAGTTGTTATTATGTACAGTGACCTATAGTTGTTAATTTCTATGTCATTTGGTCTCTGGTTGAGAGTTGTCTCATTGGCAATCATACCACATCTTCTTATTCTTATATTCAGGGTGAAAATGTATTATCTTAACACGGCTGTCCAGAAAATATTTGATGTTGATGCAGATATTTATGGTGTGGTCACAAACAGATTTCTATCACTTTTTTCTTCCTCACCTCTACTGTTTTTAAAATGGTTATGATTTTAAGAATTCTTTAAAAACCTATTTTATTAATTTTTCCTGAGACATTTTAATTATCGAAACATCTACTAGCTGCCAGTTGGATATTGAATATTAAGTTACAATTATATAACGTAATATATATGATCCTCTATATAATATATCAGTGACTGCTGTGGATAGTAAACTTGGAATTGATAGTAAATAGCAAATACAAGTTATTTCTAGTATATTCATGTTCATATATTACAGAAAAAACGTGTAAATAGTTGAATTTAAGAGAAAACAAAAAAATAACGGATTTTGAAAAAAAGGGGGAGGACTACAGAAAATTGTCCTGTCCCCAAGTACCTATGTTTTTTGTAAAATATGTATTAAAAGGTTTGAAAGATGATTTATTTTTCGAGTTGTTCCCCTTTGAACAGATTCAATAACTTGCATCAACGGGGGACCTTGGAAAGCGCTTCTTTTATCTTTTTTAGAGATTCATAGTACAAATGCAACAAAAACACACTTAACAAATGTGAAATAATTATCTTACCTCACTAGGAAAAAATGGTGCTATCAACGACAAACACAGGTAGCTCAGAAAATCGCACAAGGATATACTTATAAGGATCAGTTTATGTCGGCTGCTTAAGGCACGGAATGAAAATGTAGGAGTTGATAATTCTGTAGACTCAATATCACCCTGATCATCACAAGATCCCGGAATTTTTTTTTCCAATCCTTCATCAACAGAGTTAGATGAAATTAACGATGTCTCAACAATGACATTCTGAATTTCTTTTCTTGTTGGGTTCACATTTCTGCCCTCTGTAAATTTGTCCTGACCTTTCACTGGCTCAAAAAAAGTGTTGTCCTGATTTACCACTGGGTCAATAAATTCCTCATTATAACAGTTACTTTGATGAGTTGTTCGCAGTGATTCCCCAGTACTTACTGCACCATAATTCCCTGTCTTTTTACTCCCATTTAATAAACGAGAATCCCTTTCTGATTTTATAGTTTCATCCTCACTGTGTAATACTTTTTTGTTAACTAATACGTTCTGACTTTTTGAGTTGTTTGAAAATTTAATAGAAAAGTCATACTGAACTGAAACATCTTGCTCTTCTCTTTGGCTAACATTTTCTCCATTGTTCTGCATTCTGTCATCTTTCTTTTATTCATTCGTCTTCCACTTAAAACAAAAATAGATAGCTTTATTGTTATAATGATTTGTTTGGAAGGAGTTTAAAGAGTTTGAGGTATAAACTAAATAAGTATATTAAACAATCGCAATAATGAATGCACGAAGATTTGTTTTTAATAGGGAAGTTCGTACGAATAGAAAGTGACGTCACATTGCGCATGCGTATAAAATTGGTGGGCAAGACCCATTCATAAAAATAATTGCCGATAAAACAAACATTTTATCGAGTTCTCTCAACAATTTATCAACATATGCAAATTCCATGTCAGTTGAAGCAAAGCAAAGATATTGCACAAAGTTATTGTACAACACGGGAACTAAAAGTTTGCCAGATCCGTACGCAGTTGCTGAACAATGGACTTCTGACCCTAGCACCCGGCCCGACCTGACCTTTGGCGATATTTACCTTTACTTGATTGACACACCTTCCATCTACACCAAAGACTCAATGAAAGCATACACATCGTTAGTTGCATACAAGTAAGTGTTAAAATATGCATTTGAATTATTATTTCGATTTTTAAACAAGTTTTACATGAAAAAAGAGCTTGAATTTTTTTTTGCAATCTCACCTTCTCAGGTAAACGGGTTTTTATTATGATACGTGGTTAATGCCATATTAGGTCATCTAACCTGATCACAGGTAAACGTATATTCCTACTATGACAATGTCATTCACTGTATAGAAAACTGTGTCATCTTTTTTGAACGTATGTCACTGTGCATATGTAGTGTCATTAAATAAATGCACATAATAACCTGTTTTTGATACACTAAATTTACCTTGAATTTTACATTTCTGTATTGATTGATGATTTAGTTTTGTAGTGATTTATCTATAATTGTAGTGTTTGACTTATTTTGATATATTTGAACTAGAATACATAAATAAAACATTTAAAAAATATCTATAAAATTTAAAAAAAAAATAAAAGATGGTTTAAAAAGGTTTATGTATAAGGCATAGCATTGTACTGAAGGCTAAGTCACTGTGTCACCTGAAGATATTTTGAATAATTTTATATATATACATTTATAAGTATCATACATGCATGTCCATAACCATGATAACTAAATGTTCTTTTTGCTTTATGTTCCTTATACTGATTTGTTCCCTTTTTCAGTTACGTCGTCAGTGGACATGTACAAGTCGTGTTTTCTCACCCAGTGGACAACGACTGTCCATTCATGGTCCTCAAGGCAAAGGTCACACCGCCACAGAGACTAGAGATAAACCACAAGAACCATAGGTGTATTTGGAAAAGAGAAGCGGGACAGTATATTGTGCTCACTGTACCTGTATGGCAGGGTATGTATACTGTTAATTTACTCGATTATGACCCAGAGTTCTATTGTTCTTATATATATATATATATATATATATACAAGTCTAAATTGAAAACAACGTTCAAACCTATGGTTGCGTTGGATAAAAACCGCAATTTTCATACGTGTGCATGCAAAACAAATTTCTTGGTAGAGGGGTCTAAATACAGCACAAACAACATTTTCCAAAAAACCAAAAGAGTGAAAAAGTATATTTTAACAAAACGCATTTGACTAGCAGGTCGAACAACTGATGTTCTTAAACCCTGCTGACTGCCATTAGCGATTGCCAAATAAACGGATCACAAGATGTAACAAAACAGATCTTATTATCAAATTATTACCAAACAAAAAACAATAAACTTGCGGAAAAGATGGTATACCGCAAACATGAGGTGCAAAAATTTGTACACCATATCCGGATTTCGACAATTAATGTCTCTTCAGTGATGTTAGGAATCGAAACGGTATTTGGAAGGCCATATAGTTTACCTCAATTTAGGATAGACTCTTGAATTTTGAAAGAGTCAAAATAGGATGAACGGATCATATAAACCCGAAGGCAAATATAAGACAAGCCCAAACGAAAAAATATAAACAAGTCTAAATTGAAAACAACGTTCAAACCTATGGTTGCGTTGGATAAAAACCGCAATTTTCATACGTGTGCATGCAAAACAAATTTCTTGGTAGAGGGGTCTAAATACAGCAAAAACAACATTTTCCGAAAGACCAAAAGAGTGAAAAAGTATATTTTAACAAAACGCATTTGACTAGCAGGTCGAACAACTGATGTTCTTAAACCCTGCTGACTGCCATTGGTTATTGCCAAATAAACGGATCACAAGATGTAACAAAACAGATCTTATTATCAAATTATTACCAAACAGAAAACAATAAACTTGCGGAAAAGATGGTATACCGCAAACATGAGGTGCAAAAATTTGTACACCATATCCGGATTTCGACAATTAATGTCTCTTCAGTGATGTTAGGAATCGAAACGGTATTTGGAAGGCCATATAATTTACCTCAATTTAGGATAGACTCTTGACTTTTGAAAGAGTCAAAATAGGATGAACGGATCATATAAACCCGAAGGCAAATATAATACAAGCCCAAACGAAAAAATATAAACAAGTCTAAATTGAAAACAACGTTCAAACCTATGGTTGCGTTGGATAAAAACCGCAATTTTCATACGTGTGCATGCAAAATAAATTTCTTGGTAGAGGGGTCTAAATACAGCACAAACAACATTTTCCAAAAGACCAAAAGAGTGAAAAAGTATATTTTAACAAACTCATTTGACTAGCAGGTCGAACAACTGATGTTCTTAAACCCTGCTGACTGCCATTGGCGATTGCCAAATAAACGGATCACAAGATGTAACAAAACAGATCTTATTATCAAATTATTACCAAACAGAAAACAATAAACTTGCGGAAAAGATGGTATACCGCAAACATGAGGTGCAAAAATTTGTACACCATATCCGGATTTCGACAATTAATGTCTCTTCAGTGATGTTAGGAATCGAAACGGTATTTGGAAGGTCATATAATTTACCTCAATTTAGGATAGACTCTTGAATTTTGAAAGAGTCAAAATAGGATGAACGGATCATATAAACCCGAAGGCAAATATAATACAAGCCCAAACGAAAAAATATAAACAAGTCTAAATTGAAAACAACGTTCAAACCTATGGTTGCGTTGGATAAAAACCGCAATTTTCATACGTGTGCATGCAAAACAAATTTCTTGGTAGAGGGGTCTAAATACATATATATATATATAGGTTTGAACGTTGTTTTCAATTTAGACTTATCTATATTTTTTTGTTTGGGCTTGTATTATATTTGCCTTCGGGTTTATATGATCCGTTCATCCTATTTCGACTCTTTAAAATTCAAGAGTCTATCCTAAATTGAGGTAAATTATATGGCCTTCCAAATACCGTTTCGATTCCTAACATCACTGAAGAGACATTAATTGTCGAAATCCGGATATGGTGTACAAAAACCTTTGCACCTTTTGTTTGCGGTATATCATCTTTTCCGCAAGTTTATTGTTTTCTGTTTAGTTTAAATTTAAAATTAAGATCCATTTATTACATCGGTGATCCGTTTATTTGGCAATCGCCATTGGCAGTCAGCAGGGTTTGAGAACATTTGTTGTTCCACCTGCTAGTCAAATGCGTTTTGTTAAGATATACTTTTTCACTTTTTTGGTCTTTTGGAAAATGTTGTTTGTGCTGTATTTTGACCCCTTCACCAAGAAATTTGTTTTGCATGCACACGTATAAAAATTGCGGTTTTTATACAACGCATTCATAGGTTTGAACGTTGTTTTCAATTTAGACTTATTTATATTTTTTCGTTTGGGCTTGTATTATATTTGCCTTCGGGTTTATATGATCCGTTCATCCTATTTCGACTCTTTAAAATTCAAGAGTCTATCCTAAATTGAGGTAAATTATATGGCCTTCCAAATACCGTTTCGATTCCTAACATCAATGAAGAGACATTAATTGTCGAAATCCGGATATGGTGTACAAAAACCTTTGCACCTTTTGTTTGCGGTATATCATCTTTTCCGCAAGTTTATTGTTTTCTGTTTAGTATTAAATTTAAAATTAAGATCCATTTATTACATCGGTGATCCGTTTATTTGGCAATCGCCAATGGCAGTCAGCAGGGTTTAAGAAGATTTGTTGTTCGACCTGTTAGTCAAATGCGTTTTGTTAAGATATACTTTTTCACTTTTTCGGTCTTTTGGAAAATGTTGTTTGTGCTGTATTTAGACCCCTTCACCAAGCAATTTGTTTTGCATGCACACGTATAAAAATTGCGGTTTTTATCCAACGCACTCATACGTTTGAACGTTGTTTTCAATTTAGACTTATTTATATTTTTTCGTTTGGGCTTGTATTATATTTGCCTTCGGGTTTATATGATCCGTTCATCCTATTTCGACTCTTTAAAATTCAAGAGTCTATCCTAAATTGAGGTAAATTATATGGCCTTCCAAATACCGTTTCGATTCCTAACATCACTGAAGAGACATTAATTGTCGAAATCCGGATATGGTGTACAAAAACCTTTGCACCTTTTGTTTGCGGTATATCATCTTTTCCGCAAGTTTACTGTTTTCTGTTTAGTATTAAATTTAAAATTAAGATCCATTTATTACATCGGTGATCCGTTTATTTGGCAATCGCCAATGGCAGTCAGCAGGGTTTAAGAACATTTGTTGTTCGACCTGTTAGTCAAATGCGTTTTGTTAAGATATACTTTTTCACTTTTTTGGTTTTTTGGAAAATGTTGTTTGTGCTGTATTTAGACCCCTTCACCAAGAAATTTGTTTTGCATGCACACGTATAAAAATTGCGGTTTTTATCCAACGCAATCATAGGTTTGAACGTTGTTTTCAATTCAGACTTATTTATATATATATATATATAGACAACAATATATATATGTAATGTGTTTTATATATTGATATGAAATATAAGGAGATGTGGTACAATTGTCAATGAGACAATTCTATCCAGCAGAGTTCAATTGAATTAGATGTAAGCAGATATAGCCAACCATACAGGCTTCAACAATGAGACAAACCCTTATCGCATGGTCGGCTATAAAACGCCTTTTTATGAAAAATATGAAACAATTCAGTTGATGTATTACATTTGGTTTCATTAGCACAGATACATTTTCAAAATGTCATATAACAAAAATTTCTTCATTTACAGGTTAGGGGAAGGATGCAGTCATGTTGGGGCACTACTGTTCAAGGTGGAGATGGCTGTTAAAATTGGAATCACACAAACACGTTCAACCAGTAAAGCTTGTCAGTGGAATAACAGATTTAAAAAAGAGGTATATTTTTACACTTTTATTCAGGTATAAAGTTTTACCTGAATTTGTTATTTTTTACAATATGACTCAGGAATAAAAAGTGCATTAAGTGTTATCCTGTATGCAAATTTATCAGTTTATTAAACGGATAATAAAAATAAATCAAAGATATATGTAAAGTAGGAGACAAATCAATATTTTATATTAGCTAAAAAAAATTCAATATGTCTGTAATTAGAAATGTTTATGTTGAGGAGATTAACAAAAGACAGAAGAATTGCTAATCACACCTGCTAACCACAGATTTAGATGCTTGTAAGCAAAATAATTAATTTTGTATGTTACTATTTAAATGTGTATATATATATATTATATTCAATGTATTGATTTATTTTTATTGTCAGTTACTCCAACTTCTGTCACTGACATATTCCAGCATATAAAGGGTAGACATACAACAGATATTGCAAGGTCCAAACCAACGGGGCAGCACCTCTCCCTCCCCAGGAAGTCTTAAAGAAACTGAATGCTATTGCACCTAATGCTGCCTTTTTTTACCTTAGTTATGACACCAAGTATAGATAATCCACCTGCCTCAAAAACAACTGAAAGGAAGTACCCCTCCATTGCTGTCTACACTTCAACAGACCGATAACAATGACATTAATGACCTTTGTGATTCAACCATAGATTCATATACTCTTTCACAATACAAGGCAAAAAATTGAGAAGTAGCAACTAGAAATCAAGCCATCAGTTCCTTATGGTATCAACAGAGAATGGGTAGAATCACAGCATCAAAAGCTCATGATGTGCTAGCTCGTAAAGCAACAACTCCTGCAGCCAACCTCGTCAAAAGGATAACTAGTTTTTCCACATATGCTCTTTCAAAAAAACAGTCAGTCAAATGGGGCGTAGTCTATGAAGATGAATGTAGACAGGCATACACAAATCACCAACAGAACCACCACCTAGACCTAACGTGTTCTCCGTGTGGTTTCTTTATACACACAAGTCACCAATTCCTAGGAGTCAGCCCTGATGGCATTGTGAACTGCAAGTGCTGTGGCAGAGGTACAATAGAGGTAAAATGTCCTTTTAAACACAAAGATGTGACTGTATCACAAGCTGCAAAAAGTGACAAAAACTTCTGTCTCGACGCAAATTTAACCCTGAAGACCAGCCACAGATATTTTACGCAAGTCCAGATGCAGATGTTCGTCACCAACTGCCAGTATTGTGACTTTGTTGTATATACCAAATGTCGGCCTGAAGCAAGCATGGTAATAGTGCGAGTCCAAATTGATCTAGACTTTTGCCGCAAGTTGATACACAAGTGTGAAAACTTTTTTAAATCATTTGTTATACGTGAACTTCTCGCCAGAGAACTTGAAAATGACAAACAATAATGACAGGGTCGACAACAACAACAATGCTAATGAGAAATCATGGTGTATTTGTTCAGAACCAGGGTGTGGTCGAACGATAACGTGTGATAGTCACCGATGTCCTTATGAATGGTTCCACTACAAATGTGTAAACATTCGACGTAAACCAAGAGGAATGTGGTTTTGTGCTAGCTGTGAAATATAGACATACAAACAATACCAATTGAATTACTTTATTAATACATAGACATTGCAAAACATTTTCAATCAACATCTTGTATTTATGCTATATATAAATATGTATTGATAAAACTAGACATACATGTACATGTTAAAATTAAAAATTGCATTATCAATAGCTGGAATGCACACTAATAAATGTAAGAATGATTGAAAAATGAAAACTTAACAACATATTTATCTATAATAAAGAAAATTTGGAAACAATTTTGCTCAAACTTTTTGAATTTAGTTGTATATAACATTTTATCTGTTATATACATGTACATTTTCATATATATATTTTGTAACTGGCTTTTTCGTTCATTTGGAATAAACAGAAGTTCTTGTTAATGCATCATTAATGAAAACTATTCTGCTCATGTTTGAAAACCATAGACTTGTACATTGAACGACATAAATTTTTTTGTAATACATCATTGTGTGAAATAAATTAATTTGAAACACATTTTTATATTCACTACAGCCTGTTGAATTTGCAATAAGAAACTTTCTATTATCGAAAAACTATATATACAAGTCTTTAAAAGAGTTTTTTAAGACACAAGTTGGGGTTGGAGATAACAAATTGCTGAATAAATGATAACAATGCTATCGGAATGAGGAACCATGCACATACTCATGTTTGAATTAAGAATGTTAAAGTTTTTTAATCTCTTGATTGCTCTCTCAACATGGATTCTGACATGCGCTATTTTAAGGGTCTGTTCTACTTCTTTGGCACTTAGTTGTTTTTTCCTCTTGTGAATGCTGGTGTAACTAGTGTTGCACTTTTGTTGGCAAGTTCTTCTGATATCGAAAACCTACGGTCAGCCAACACTTGATCTCCATACTGAATTTTGTCCAAATTACCACTGCGTTGTGTAATAACCTTGTCAGATGTCCTACCACCAAATGCCTTTGATACAAACGAAATAGCTCCTGTTGGTGTTATTGACACTAAAAATTTAATGGTGTTGTTGTGCTTGTAGTTGGACCAGGTCTGAGCTCTAGCAGTTAATTGGCTTGGTCGCTGAATAAAAACTTCAAAACAGTCATTAATACTGGAGCACCTTCGGTAAGATTGTTTAAAAACAGATGGCATGTTACTTAATATATATTCCTTATCAAGCCATTGAATCAGAAAGGATAGTTTGCTGGCTAATTTTGGAAGTCCTAGGTTAAGAATGTCTGATATTGTTGTTTTCGAGACACCGAAGCGAAAGGCAAGATCTTCATGTTGAAGGTTGAGTCTCAACTTCATTAGTAGGCATAGCAGAACACTTGTCGGTGACATTACTTTACATGATGGCAATATACAAGAACAAAATGACAACAACCACATAAATAGAGCTTTAGAATGCACAGCGGTGTATAACTGTATTTTACGATCACTGGCAGTAACAAGGTTTTCAAAATTTAGCTGACTGATGTTTGCCTTTGAAGTGGTGTTTTCTGTTTGAAGGCGACCTAATTCAGCATACAGTTGTTCATTTTCAATTCTCAATGTGGCAATCTTGTTGATGCAAGCATCGTGTTGGTTGTTATCTGACTGCACTGAAAATAAGGAGAAAATTTATTAATTTAAAAAAAAATGTTTTTATATTATACAATAGCTGTTAAACAGCCTTCAATAAATAAAACTTAGTAAAATTTTTAAGCATCCATTACCATTACATTTCTTTACATCATTTTATTAAAGAAAAAAGATCCTGTGGTCACTACAGATATTGATTAAGGTTGATGAAATCGTTGAATCATGAGCATGATGAGATGCTGAATGTGTATTTACAACAGTGTTAATCAATTATTTTGTTTGTAGATACATGTATCATCTATAGCTAAAGTTAACCTGGACATCTCCTTGATTAAAGTGATAAGAGTTATTAATTATTGTTTTCAAAGATTAATTACATGTTCAATTATTTCTGATTTAAACTTAAAAGAAACTGCTATTCAAACACTCCACTGAAATGAAGTGTTCTATATCTCACTAATTAGGACTTGTTTTGTTAAGTACAGTATGAGAAGGACTTTCTCTTTGTCTTCTTGTTTTTGTTCCACTCTTTGAAACCGGGCGTATCGCTGGTCACCACTTGCTTTGTACTTTTGATACCCCATGTCAACTGATGGCATATAGTCTGGGTTGTTCTCGTCATTACTCTTCACACATGAAATTTACATATGATTTATAATTCAATTTACACCAAGGTTGTTTTGCTATTTTAAAAACATTTGAAAGTGGTACAACTGGTTGACCGAAGAACATGACTTCACTATATGATCGACACAGTCATAGATAAGTACCACATATATGTATCATAGGCTACATGTATGTGGTCCTTGTATGATGTACATTGTATGTCATTATTTGATTTAAAAAACACAATTAAAGGAAGAAACAAAGTTAAAAAATACCAAGGTTAAGTACAAAAATAGCTGAGAATAATATCTAAAATCATGAAAATATATTTAAAAAACTTCCTTGACCTTGTCTGATTATCTTACACTAAGTTACAGAAATAAGATCCAATGACCACCCCCCTTTTTCATTTCTGTGTGTTTAAAAGCATAAATTCCGGTTGACATGCTTTCATAAGTAGAAACATACTTTCCAAAGACAACAAATATTAGAAAAAAAAATGAATTTGTAATTAAAATATTGGCTTACCAGATATGAACTGTTGAAAACAAACACGGTTATTTTTCCTTGGTTCCCACTGATCTCGTCTGATTGCTGAAATTGCGCGACTCTGGCTTCTTTGGGATACGGTAAAAGCTTTTGGTATTGTCCTTGTCAAATCTGATTGTACATCCGATAACACAACATGAAGCTACCATGGCTAATTAACGGTAAATATCGATTGACTTGCGATTTTCAAACATCCATTGTATGTGCCCACCAGTAAGTCACGTGATCAATCCGTGATATCACGGCGAACTTCCCTATTTGACTATGTTGGATTTCATACGACTGACATCATAAAATGGGTTCTATACCTGTATACCCTTTTTAAATAGCTATCTTGACATTTATTAAAGAAATAATTTACACATACAAGATTGAAGTAATTAAATTAAGGCTTTTCATCAATAAAGAATAGAAGCTTTAAAGAGCTACCGTTTCAACTGATTTTAATAGTTTGTTCTTATGTTAATTGTGCTGTTACACCACTGTCCAAGGTAAGGGGAAGGTTTTGGCACCAGCAAACATGTTTATCCCTGAAATATTCTGTATGTGCCTGTCCTAAGTTAGAAGCTTGTTATTCAGTGGTTGTGTTCTGCTGCTGGATATCATATTTATGTTTTTAGTTATTGTATTGTACATATATTGTATCAGGTTGTTGGTTTTCTCATTTGAATTGTTTTACATTTGTCAAACCTAGTTTTGTAGCTTTCTATGCAGAATGGGATTTGTTCATTTTGTTTTATTGAAGGCTGTACAGTGATCTATAGTCATGATAGTAGGCGGAGAGTTGTCTCAATGGCAATGATACCACATCATCTTATTTTAATTTACTGTGATGTTTACCTGGGTCTATGTTTATACTGAACAATGACCACTCTCCAACTTTATAAACTAGAATATAATTCATGACTAAATTAATGTTATCATTGATCTTGTATGTCAGATCATTTTTTTCTGTTCACAGTTTCTTTCTGTCTACTATATATTTGACTCAAATGCAAAAAAAAGATGGATAAAAATCATCATTTAAATAACTCCTCAATGAGTAATCTAAGCCTTTCTGTTATAAAGGTATTTATGCAGATCTTGTTTTGCTGATAATTTTGCCACTGGCAGCTTCTATCTACATGTATTTAATACAGTTTTTAATATAATAGGCAAAAACATGAAAATAAGCCATAAATCTTAATTTTAGGGCAAATACAGTTTAGATTAAAGTGTTCAAATAATTGTGGTGATTTTTTTTTATTGAACTTTTTAAAAATTACAACATTTATTCTCTAAAGATGGACAAGTTTATAAACTGTAGCCATGGACAGGTGTGTGTCTTTATATTGAAGAGAATGAACATGGCCGACAGCTTTAATAGTGATTTTTAATTGTAAATTGCATCAAAGTGGGTGAAAATATGGAAAAAACAACTTATATACACAAATCAAGTATGCCATAGGAATAAAATATTAAGATAATAGTCGTTTT